GATGATCGATACCTTTGATCGGCCTGGCAGAGCTTTTACTGAGGAAACCTTTGCTCGGGCTGGAACATTTGCAGATGCGTTTGAGGACAAACCAGGGAAGCGTCTTCCCAAAGCCGGAGCGTATGCTGAAGCGGGAGTGGGGCACGCCCGTGCTGAATGGAGTGTTTTTGACGCAGAGGCCAAAGGACCCAATGCCAGCGCAGAAGCTGGAGCCTCTGTGGCCTCTGGTGCCCAAGCCTTTGCCAGAGCAGAAATAGCCAGTGCTTCAGCCTCTGCTGGTCCAATCAAAGCTACAGTTGGTCTGGGATTAGACACAGGAGTGGGAATTAGTCCCACAGGTGTCGAAGCCAAGGTGCTGGGAACCGGTATCTCCTTTGGTCGCAAAATGGGCATTTCTCTGTTTGGCACTGGTTTTGAATTCAATCTGTGGTAAACTGTGCACAGTACAGATCTTTCTAAACCGTGCAGTGCCTTGTATTAAAACAACAAGCCCTCGAATTTGCATATAATTAATAAATTATCATGACATCTCCAATCACTCCTGAAAGATTTTTCTTAATATGTGTTGTCGCTGGTGATGATTTTGAGTTCAGGCACATTGTGAAACAAGAATCTAAATATTTGTGTCACAATGATTTCTATAAAAGCATGTTGTTTATGGGGATAATACAACAAATCTTTTGTGCGTTGTCCTGATTCTTGATTTGAGGTATGAGACAAACGACTCGAGGTCCATTGTGCGTCAAAACAATGATTTTATTTAAGCACATCCGAGCACAAGCCGAGCACGATCACTCAAACAGCATCGATCTTCCTCGAACAATAAATGAGCCGTCATATATATATCATTGATGACGAGCATAATGCGTCAAAACAGATAAATGACCTGCCTCAGTTCCAGTAATTCCACCCTGGACATATTCTAAAAAAGAACAGTTCCTTCCTCTGTTCCTCCACCACCGCCAGATGCTTCCTGTTATTTCACTTCACTTATCTGTGGAAATTACACTGTCACGTACGCAGGTAAAACAACTTGCAGTTTCAAGCAAAACAAGTCTAAATACTGTGTATGTGTGTACAGGCAGCCTGTGTGTGTGTCTTGACCTCAGTGCATGACCTTACTCGACAAACAAAGACATTTCAGAGGGCACACAGGCCTTTATTCTATTCCTATATAATATATAATATTACATAGGAAGGAACTATAATATATAATTCCTATATAAT